ATGCTCATGGGGCACATTGGCAATGTGAGCCACATGCACGTGTAGAGCCAGGAAACAAACTCTGTCTTTTCCACTCAGTTTGCTATGAACCTAAAACTGCTCTAAAAAATAAAGTATGTCAAGAAAACAAAGCAAAATCCTGCTGTATAGAAAAAGCCAAACACTTATAGGCAAGATAGTAAACATTAAGGCATATGGTAGAGAGCGTGTGTGGTGATTGAATAGGAGGCATGGTCTCACAGAGGACATGGGAAACCTTTCATTCCCATACTGGTGTTGAACTTGTGTAGAAGCAAGATGCAGTGTAAAGAGAGTTTCTACTCTCTTACATTATCCTAAAGTGTAGGGAACAAGGAAGGGGATGTTGCTGGAACCTCTGCCTTGGGTCCTGGCCTCCTGTGAGCCACTACGGCACAAGGTGAATTAAAGAATAGACAGGAAACGAGACTTAGAGTGAAGAAGCTGGGCACAAACAGAGCTGCTAATGGCAGCAAAGACAAAGGCCCCCAATTATGTCCAGTATTTATTGAATACAATCATGGGAAGGAAAAGGGAACCAGGTATGCTTTGAAGGCATCTAGTGAAATACTGCTGAACACCTGGCATGATGGCACCAGGCAGGGCTATTAGGGAGTAAGCATTGCTTATCTTGCTGGGATAGAACAAACCAGTACTGGGACCAGGTGCAATTAGGAAGCAACCCATCAAGTCAGTGAGAAGCCAAAATTCAGGGGAAAGGATTTTATTTGGGGTCATACTGACCTCAGCTACACCTAACTTAGCAGAGCCCTGCCACTTCACAGACCAGGTCTTAGGCCGTGGTGACAGCCATTAGCAAAGGGGCAGTACTAGCCCAACTCTGCTACCTGACATGCCCATTTGAGTTACATAGGGCTTTGGTCTGACTCCTGATATAAAACAATATAGCCAAATTAAGGGAGCAAAGAAGTATGTGCCACTCACAGCCCACTAGTACTGGGCAGGGATGTCTGCTACACTAAAGCTTCATACAGTTAAAAGCAGAGGCTCTGGGTACAATATCCCTGCCCTAGCATATGTTTGCAACAGTGTGGACAGACATTAAAAGTTCAAAGAAAGTAGAGGTGGAATTTTATAGGCAAAAATGATAGGAAAGAATGCTGAAGAGAATCTGGAGGAGCATAAACCTTTATTCAAATACAGGCATCAAACCAATTCCTGCTCTGCCTTGATATTAATTCTAGAGAGAAAGAAACTTGAGTCCAAGCTAGTTAACAGTGTTTAGGAAGTAGACAGAGGCAGGGCCTTACCCATGGTGTGACTGCAAACCTCTCTTTCTATCCAACCCTACTCTACCCTGTTCCTCTCATTTGAAATGGAAGGAGCCTGCTGAGCCCAAAGAATGGTGATGGATGGATCTCTGCCCAGAATTTCAGGATAAGACTAAACTGATTGTTCAGGGACCTGGGCCAAAGGCTACTCTGTGAGATGTGATGTTCAAACAGGAACCAGATGATCACTAATACAAAGGTTAGCTCTGTTTCAGGTGGCATGTACATGACTGCATTTGTTCCTTTGCCCATCATGCAATCTGAAAATGACTTCATGAAGACAAGAAGGAAGATAGGAACAACCAAGCATCCTAATCACATTTATTCCCAACTAATTTGTGCAGATGTCTGTTTCTTGGTGCTTCTCAATTCTGCCTTCACATCAGTCATCTAGAGAATTGCAGATGCTCAGGCTTGCTTCCCGTTTAAAGAATCTCACCTTGCTTACTTAGGAAGGTCAGATTTCCTCTTCTTTACAACATCCTTCATCCTTCATCAGCTCAGCTTTGTGGGGACAGTGGCAGGTCCAACTTTTTAATAAAGGAGCCAGCTAAGAGTCTGCAATCTTGTTTTGGGTATATGCATGCATACTTGGAGCTGTTTGTCTAGTATTTCCATAATATTAACACAATGGTTGCCGAAAGGGAAGGGTTGGAAGGGCAGTGGGTTAGGAACTCAAAGGCTCTACTACTCACCTCTTGAAATAAGTGAAGCTTACCCCAAAGTAGAAACTTGGCAGTTTTGATAGAAATCTAAATTGATCATAAGCAGTGTAGCAACCACCGAATTTCATCATATGTGATCATCATATGTCTCATTGCTGAGACAAAATACCCAACACCCACAAGTTAAAGGAGGAAAGGTTTATTTTGGCTCACAGTTTGTAGAGGTTTGTCCATAGTTGGCTGGCTCCAAGACAGGGTGCCATGGCAGAGGGCCATCACAGAAAATAGTCCATGGCATGGCAGGCAGAAGGCAGCAAGCAGCAGAAGCAAGCCCACCTTTCCCTTTTATCCCAAACAGGCTACAAACCTTTTGGCTGATGCCACTCACACCCAAGGTGGGGCTTTCATCTTTAGTAAATCAATTTAGCCACACAGAGAACTATGCTAATTCCAGTCAGTGGATTTAGTACCACACACCCTTAATCCCAGGGTCACACATCTTAGATCCAGCTAGCTCCGGAAAGCCCCACCTATGAGTGCATGAGTCTTTGGGGGAACATGTAGATACAAGCCATAAAAATATGCATCCCTTTAGAACACAATGAGGATTTGCTGGGTTGTCCCTATGCCATGTAGTGTCCTGAAGTCCTTGCATCAGTTTAGGTTTCACCTTAGTTGGTATTACTTATTTGGTAGGCACATTCTACTTTGATTCTTCTAAACTCTTAGGAAGTAGAAAAGTTGTTTAACCATGTAAAAAATACAGTTCTAGTTTTGGGTGTGTTTCAGATATTGAGGCTACAACAGAGAGCCTAAGATAAAAGAAATTCAATCCAGAATTAACTTTCATCACTTCCCACAAAGGAAGGACTGACAGTATCTATAAGGCCAAAAAGATCTTTTTCACCAACCATAATTAAAAGGCATTGGCTGAGCCACATTAGGTCTCTTCGGTGTCTTTGCAAAGTTCACATCAGAGTGCTAGGCATGTTCAAAAATTACCCAAAGCTCAGCCATGTTAAACACCTTTTTAAAGGCTATATTAACCAACTACAGAACCCAAGAAGGTGATGAAATCAGTAAGTCCCTCACTTCTGAAGGAGCTCCATTCCAGGAAAACATTCATAAGTCTGATTCGTTCTTAAATCCAACAAAGTCTTATACCCTTAACAGAAATATACAATGTAAAGCATAAAAAAGCCAAGCACACATAAATACTGTAAATAAACACAGCAGACACATTAGCTACTTCTGTGATTTGTTCATAATGCGAGGTCCATTCGTATCTGTGAAAGTTCTCAACTTGAATGTTTGTGAGTTGGGGACTCACTATAATGAAGTTTTGACCCAAGATTTAAAAATTCTATTTTAAGTTAAAGGAAGAAAAAAATCCACTTTTCTTAAGAAAACAGTTTATTAAAGGGCACAAGAAAACATTTTTAGAAAGTATTCTGTAATTTTTTTTTCACTATGCTGATTTCAAAAGGATGAGGTCCATTATTGTTGCAATAGCCTATTTAGTAGAGAGAAAGGATTAGAGGGCAAGCTGCCCCCAACAGAGTGCTCCTGCTGGTCTTTCCCAAGTCAGGAGCTTGCTCAGAGAGGAGCTGCGCAGGTGAGTGATGTGGCACAGGCTTACCCTGAAGAGGAAGAAAGTACCACAGGGTAATCTTTATTGAGTGCGCACTGGGTACATGTGCAGTGCTGTGGTGAAAGCATTCAGTGTTATTATCTACTTATTACTCATGACAGTCAATGTGGTAAATACAGTTCTCAGCCTCCATTTAGGCTGAGGGACGTTAAGTAATTTGCTTAGGCCACACAGGAGCTGAAGGGACTTTTAGGGTTTCTAAATTCTTAGATTGGACAAACCTAAAAGAATGAGGAAGATCTGTGAGTTCTGACTGAATATCAATGTCATATTCTTCAATTGAAAACAAAACACTTTTGTAAAACTGAAAAGTGGATTTTAAATATCCCTGGCCTTCCTTTTATACCTCTAACAAAGCGTGGTCTGGGCACCAGCAGCCTGAGCATCCCCCAGGAGCATATTAGAAATCCTGGCCCCACCCTAGACCTCTTGGTCAGAATCTGTTTAAGTAAAGCTGGGTGATCTGCACGCTCTGGAGGAAACCGTGAGAGCAACGCTCCAGCCTGCCACCACCTGCCCTTCTCAGAGCTTTGGGACTTACTGTTTCTGCTGGCTGGAATGCTATTCCCCAGGCTTGACATGCCTCATGCTCTCTCATTTCATTTAACTCTTCTTAGTGTCACCCACCTCCTTGGACATCTCTGAGCTCTATATGAGAAGCAGTATCTTCTGTCACCCTCTTTCTGTTTACCTTGCTTAATCTTTCTTCATGGCAATTAAACCTGAAATTACAGATTTATTATCTCTTCCACTCAGTACACTGTAACCTCCATCCGGACTGGGACTTTGTATTTCCAGCACCTAAGGCAGTGGTTGGGATAGAAGTGCTTGACAAATATTTGAATGAGAAACGATTTTAGATGTAGGACTATCTAGAGCACAGCAGAGATCCCTGGGAAATAGAAAAGGGGGACTGAGGGAAGGAACATGTCCCTTTCACCACTCCATATTTATCTGCAGTTTTCAAGGATGTGTGTACTGTTTTATAATTTATTAAACACTTTTCAAATAACTGAACAAACCACCTCAAGATATAGCACACTATGAAAACAAAGCAGATTGCATCCCTTCCTTCTAAAGGGTTTTAGGCTTTATTAATTTATCAGATTATACTTTAATAAATTTTCTAAAAATCCATGTCCTTTAAAGAGCCTGTTTGTCCCAAGAAATCCCACTGTTAAGTGAGTTTTATTTTTGAAATGCAGGCATTACAACCCTAGCACACGGGCTATGCCTTGTCCCCACTAGCAGGCCAGGCCCCTACACTGCTCACCTGTTTGTGAAGTAGTACAAACCCTCAGACTTGGTCAGTGACTAGCAAAGCAGCAGACAGACTGGGCGGATTCCAATCAGAGCTCACAAAAGAAAACAATCTTCACTGATGAATCATTTATTTGGACAAGACAAAAACGTCTCCACACAGTTTCCTTTTATACAGAAAGTGGAACATTTCAAATATATTACTTTTTCTCTTTTTCAACAGAATTCACTTCAGTCTGGTCCCAGGAACCACTTCTCATGTTAGGATTCACGTTTTAGTAACACATATGCACCCATTATAGCCAAAAGTGCATACTGTAAAGAAAACACAATGGAAAATTACTGTAAGTTTTACAAATAAATTTGGCTTATAAATGTACTGTATTCAGATGAAGTCTGTTCAATACTGCACTGAGGACAGAATCAAAAGATGACCTCTCCCCCATGCCTTGTTCTCCAAATTAGCTGTTCAATACCATACTGTGGTTAAAGACCCAAAAATATATCAATGGACTAAGGAGCAAACACCTGACAAACAGCTAGTGCAGTGCTTATTCCTATGTAGGTTTCCTATTATTTTTCAAGTGTTTTTTTTTTTCCCAAAAATAGTCATACTATTTCAATTGAAGCTTGTAGACAAACATTACTGGGTTTATTGTACTGCTTTTCTGTGTATTTGAAAATTTCCATAATAATGAGCAACAACTACATAAGTACCATTTTAGAACATAAAAGATGAAAAATGGTATTTTAAGTAATTTAAATGTCAATCTAAATGCTATGTTAATTTGTAGTTAACTATATATACCCTGCAGAAAAATTAATGGCAAAATATTTTAAGAAGATTCCCTCTTTACAGTTGTACAAATAAAAGCTCCAATATTTTAAAAAATAAATAAATACACATATATAAATTCCTACCTTGAATTTTGGATAGTCATTCATTATTATGGTGACCATACCAACATATGGCAAAAACCTAAGTTGTGGGAATAAAAAGCAAGAAATATATAATTGCTTATGATAATACTTGACACACTATAAATCAGCTTTAAGAAACAAATCTTCCATGATTACCACTGACTGTGCTTGTAAGGACAATATTTACCCCGTCTCAAAGGGCTTTATGAGTAAAAAGCATCAGAGCTAACAGTGAGGTTAATTTTTTTTAAGCAGGCACATGATTTGAGGTAGCAATGCTGCTTGTCTTCATTTACCACAATTATAATCACACATTGAGTCATTTGTACAAAGAGAATAGACACCTTTCACAAATCTATTGCTTATTTTTTTAGGAGAAAATTTTCAAATGGCCCATATAAAACTTGCTATTAATTAAAGCTTTAAAGCACACAGATAATTAGTTTGTAATTTGAAGAATCATTATCATTTTCATTTTGTGGTGCTTTTCAGGTGTAACAAATACATTTATTAGGCCGTAAATACACAACAATCTCATAACCTGTAGTCAAATGTGATTAAGATGCCAGAGAAAGAAGGTTCAGAGCCAATGATTATGCTGACAGTATTAATATCAATACGTCACTAGTTTGACCCATCTTGCCATCTCTGCTAATTCAAACTAGGTAACACACCCACAGTGTCCCCCAGCCAACAATCAGTAGCTCCCACCCCTCTCCTGTCCACAGCCTTTCCCCAGTGTTAGAAACAAGACTGACTAGTGGGAAGCACTCCTTGTCTCCCTGCAGATATTCAAGAGGAAACCCAACAGTTTAGAAAAATGGTTGGAGAGGGGTAGCAAGAGGCCTTACGCTACAATCTGATGATTAAAGCTAAATCTTAGACAATGGTAGCCAGTCTCTCCAACCTTATATCACTGGTGAAATTCAGATTAAGATAACAAGAAGACATTTCACAAGAGTTAAATATTAGCAACGTATCTGAAAGAAATCCGTTTTTGGTTTTAAGTTTTGGTGTTGTGTTGTGTTGTTTTGAGATAGGGTCTTCCTTAGTAGTTCAGCCTAGCCTTGACTCACTATGTAGCCCAGGCTGGCCTGGAACTCAAGACAATCCTGCTGCCTCAGCCTCCCAAGTGCTGGGATTACAGGTGTGTACCACCATGACTGGCTGCTTTTTTAATAAGAAGATAAGCTCAGAAGCAGAACTCATTGCTGGAACAATCATGCAAATTAATATCAAAAGATTTATCACAAAACTTTTTTTAGCTGTGAAAAGAAGATAATCTAAATATTTATCATGACAAAGAGTCTACCAAAAGATGTTTGAATACAAAAGTGATGTTGATTATTAGAATGGCATGTAGCCATTTTAAAAGATAAAGGTAGTAGAGACTTGACAAATAAATATTTCACACTTCCTGTTGGGTGAAAAAAGTCCAAATCTTCATGGTAACACTGTATATTATATGTGCATATACACACATCTATTGGCCACAGAGAGTACCCAGAACGTTCACCAAAAGGTCATCTCCGAGAGGATTTCTTGTAATTGTTATTTATAATCCACAAATAACAAATCTCTGAGGATTTATTTTGAAATGGAATTAAACCTATGATATACAGCATATGCTTGGATTTACTTTTAGGTTTTAGGTCCTTAGACAGTAAGTTTTCTTTAGTCGTCACAGAATAAACTAGAACTAATTAAAGTGCTCCTAACATATATTATTATGATTCTGTTGTTCTATAAATTTAGTTTCTGTTTTTAAATATATTTCCCTGGCTTCTTAACTGTCTACATAACTCAAAAGTTCATCCTCACCCTCGTGCTCTTCCCACCACGTCTTTCTTTTCCAGCCAGTTCTGGCCTTCTTTGTACAAGCCTCTATCATCGACTTCATTATTATCTCCTTTAGTCAGAAATTTGATGTCTCCATTATCTCTGGAAAGCAAAATAATGTCCTCTCAAAAGTTATTTTCAGCACAGCACCATTAAAAAAATATTAGTTTACCTAAGACATTATGGTCAGACATGAGCATTTAGAAACCAATCAAAGAACACTTGACCTTCCTTTGGTCTAAGAGGACTGCTTACAGATAATCACTCAGCTGAAGCACAAATCTAATGACAATTTCATAGTCTTAAATTCTAAAACACTTAAATAACCCTGACAAACAGAAACCATGGCAAGGCACCAGGGCACCAGGAAGGCAATGATTCACATGAAATACAGATCTTCTTTTTACTCCATGACTTCACTCCTTGAAGAAAAAGCTAGCATCTTAAATTATTTTTAATATGAAAATATGTGTATCAGTGTCACTCATCAGTGGATAAAATCAGGTGAACAGCACCTGTGCAGAATCATATCCAGATTCATGACCCAGCCAAATGTTGCTGACAGTGAGCTTTTCCAGGCTTACCTGTCATTCACCTCAAATCAAAAGGCAGGCTATGAGGCTGATTTAACAATCTGTGTTGAACTTGAACTGTTTTCATTCCTTTCCAGAACCCATGGGCCAGAACCCATGTGTTAGCATGAATTATGCTCCTCTTCACTCTAGACACAAACTTGGTTCCAGATGACAGACTTGAGCACAAGATGTTTAAATGCAACTGTGCTCCTAGGTGTCCTCAAACTTTTCCTTGCCTAATGTGAAATGTGTTAATGCTTTACTTCCTCCACCATTGAGCACAATGGTGAAAAATTTTGTTTGCAAGGAAATAAGAATCTCAAATGGCATAAAGCCAGTACATTAAAGAGACATGTGGGATTAATATTAAGTATTCTAACCTGGTGCTAAGATAGCCTTGATGCTAGAAACACAAAATTGTAGCATTATACACTTACAAAGAGGGTGGTCTTTCAATAAGACAAACTAAAAAAAAATACCATTATACTGAGGTAAAATATTTAAAGCCCATGAAAATCTGAAACCATCTCAAAAAGAGTACACTAATTTGCAGTCATGGTTAATGAGGAAATCAAGAAGATAAAACTCTTGGCACTCTGTCACAATTCATGCAAGTTACAACAAATAATCATCATTTGCTCAACTCTGAACAATTTTTCATATTTAGAAATTATTTTAAAGTCAGGTGAGAGTCACATCATGACTGAACATGCATGCTTCTTTCTCAGTGAGTTAACAAGTAGACATCAGGTAACCATTAGAATAGTACCAGTATATCAATGCAAACTGAAACTGGATTGTCAATCTTAGCACAGAATGAAGCAAATATTTTAATTGTCAATATATTTAGGGAACACCCAGGAGCAATGAATGGAATGAGAATCTAATACCATTCATGTACAGTTATCTAACATGCACGTGTGCACACACCACACAAGAAATCCTCCATTATTTAAAAATGCAAGTATACATCCCTAAATTTAATTCTATAAATCATGTAAGTAAAAATGCTACAGTAAGCTGTATAAAGGTAAATGAATAACTCAAGTTTATGCAATACTGTATAACATTTTCACTCTCTCATGGAAACTTTCTATACTTGAGATAGAGGTAAATGTTTTGGTTCTAAAAAAAGAGACCAGACCTTGTTAAGATCTTAATAAGTCATCTGGCATTTAAGGGAAAGGCAAGGCTATCTATGAGGGGGAAAATTAATGCAGGATATGCCAGGACCAAATCATGAGATGAGTTAGGGAAAAGAATTTTTATCCACATAGGGCTAATATTATGCTGAAAATACCATTTGGCCAAAGTGACATAGAGAAACAGCATTTTTACACTTTTCAAAAAATAATTCTCATATCATGTACTAGTAAAAATAAACTTAAGGCATTCGCAATAAAACTAAATAACAACGCATAACTTTTAAATTAGCCAGAGAATCTGTTCTATTCAACACAATGTAGGAAAAAAGATAACAAAAATGTATAGTAAATGCACCATGTAAAAAATAATGGCAATAACAAATGCTTATCTAGCTTTAAAATAATTGTAAACTGTAAATTGTAATAATTGTAATTGCAAATTATAAATTTAAAAAATAATAATTCTCTATTAAAGTAATCCTTTATTAATGTGATTTGGTTTTCTTTACAACTCCTTCAGTAACTAATACAATACACTCTACCTTCAACTGTTGCAGCAATTTAAGTTTTAAGTGCACAGTACACAGTTGTTCTTTTAATTTTATTATATTTGTTCATAATCACCCTATGAGTTATTATGTGTAAAATATTATCACTTCCATTTTATGGAGTGAGGTAGCTACTTCAAAATCACCCAGTTAGTAAATGGCAGAACTAAGAACATAATCACGTGCTCCCCCCGCACCCAGTACTGAATATCAGACTCAGGACCTTGCACTTTCGAGGCAGGTGTGGTGCCACTGAGCTAAATCCCTGCCTAATCTCATGCTTTTACTACTATTTAATTAACCATTAAAACCATCTCCCCAAATTTACAAAAACAAAAAGTCTCTTTACTTTTCATGAACTTTGATTACTCTGTGAACTATTGGAATGTCTCGTCCTTCAACTTTAAAAACAACTATTTCACCAGCTCGAATAGGGTCTTCCCGGAAGTTTGTGAGGAACAGAAGGTCTCCCCTGTGAAAGGCTGGTTCCATACTGCCACTGAAAGAAACATAAAGTCAGTATCAGCACTGCCCAGCATCCAAAAGATGATGATAATAAACTTACCAGTCAGAGTTGAAATACTCATCAATAATCACTGTGGTTCCTTCAGTTCAAGTGATAATGAAATGTGAGAGAGGAATTGATTTCTACTTAGACTGAAGAATGAAAAGGGCATTAGTAAGGCTTGTGCACTTTGCAGTAGGTAGGACAAGGAGCAAGAATAATATGGACTCTTTGAAGTAAAAGCTGTCAATTTTTAGTCTTAAAACAAGCTGCACTTATACAAATATATCACTATTTTCATTCAGAACTGCAGCCTCTTACAGTTAGGGCAACTCTGGTTTCACAGCATATCTCCAACACCTAAGATATTGAAATACTTATTCATGGAATGAGAAGCAGACAGTGAATTAATAAACTGGGAGCACGATAAGTTTCAATAAACTATAGCCACACTGGAACTGGGGACAAAATGTGAACCCTGGTCTTGCCTCCTGGGATATCATCATTTTGACCATATTCTACAAAAGCCCTATGGTGAATTTTTTAGTGGATTGAAAGTGAACTACAATCTACTGGGAGGTCAGGTTAAAAACCCAAAATTCATTGTATATACACAAATGCTTTGTTTTAATACATGAGAAAAGAACAAGGCCTAAAAATATGACTTGATAGGGGCTGTGCAACAAGGATGAATGAGTAATGTCTGTTCAGCAGGAGGGAAGAAAGAGAGAGCCAGGCTATGGAAGCCATGCAGACCTTTACAGGAAACAGCAGCTCACCAAACTGGCCCTCCTTTCCAATTGCCCAGCCCTGGTATCCTCCAAACTTCCCAGCATAATCAGAATGCAGTAAGTAGACATGCAGTGGGACTGGCCAGTCACTAAGCACCAGCTGGGAGGTTTATGTTAAAGTAAAACCAGTGCACTAAGGATTGTAACAGATCTGGTGCTCAAAACCAAGAAATCTAAATTAAAAGGGGACAAGGGATTTGCAATAGAAATGACCAAAAGGAAAAGAAAGAGAAAACATAGGAATAAAATAAATTTAGGGCTTTATTGTTTCTCAACATGGAATTCATTTTGTCTTTCAAACATGAAATATAATTGCTTCAGAGTTGTGTTCTCTTTTAAAGAACAATTGCTAAAACGCTTAAGATAATTTCTTCAACCATGGCTTCATGTTTACTTCTTCAACAAAACACAGAAGATGTTTCTAGAAAACTGTCTTAGTCCATGATAACAGGATTGCAGAGAGGAGAGAACTCCCTGTACAAGTGTCAATGGGAAGAAGGATGCACTGAAGTTTGGCATTGAGGGATATGATCTGTCCCAACAGGAAAGCAGTTCTTTTAAGTGTTTCCCTAATATCTACTTACATTTGCTTTTCTCCTGAGCCAGGGATTCCCCCAGGGTCACACAGCCCTCAGGGAGGTCAATGTTTTATTTTGTCAAACAAAAATTGCTTTAGAATTATAAAGGATGCTTTTTTAAAAGTTCCTATGCACTGCAATTTCACAATTATCTCTTTGTACAAATATGTCTATGTGATTTGAGGAGGAGAGCCAGGTGTCCTCAGAGTTGGCATTGCTCTACCAAAAGCAATTGTGAGATGCTTGTAACATAGCCTCCCGGAGCCTCAGGTTCCTAATCTGTTACGTAAACTGGATCATCTTAATTTGAGGTTTTTAATTTCTTTTTCATTTTTTTGGTTTTGTGTGTGTGTGCGCGCACACACATACATGAGACCATGCACACACTTGGGATTGAACCTAGAACCCTGTGCATGCTAGGCAAGTACTCTACCACTGAACTCCATCTCTTACCCCCCTTTTAAAAAGCCTTAAAATCCTTCCTTCAAATGAAACCCGCCCAGGTAATATAGCCACATAAAATACATAAAAGTGGAACTACTGCACCTGAAGCAAGGCCAAGGTGTCAAGGGTCCAGGAGCCTGGTACCTTTCTCTGTGAGACCTGAGTGACTCCATTTTAAAGTTTTGGCCCCATTTTAGAGTAAAGGTGCCCTGGACATAAATTCTAGTTCCGAGAAAAACCACAAGATGCACTTTGGCCACCTGCCTGTGATAATGTCCAGCAGTCCCCTAGCAACTAGCCTAGCGACAGCTAATCGGTAGCTGCCTCAATGTCCCAGATGCTCTTCTCGATGGCCTGCAACAGCTAATCAGTAGTTACCCCAATACCCCAGTATCCCAGATGTTCTTTTCGATGACTTGAGCAGCCATTTGCAGTTCAGCGCGCAAGGCCCAGCCAATTAGGTTTAAACTTTCAAAACTTGCTAAATGCTAGCCAATTGTGTGATTTGCGTGTGATTTGAAACCCCGCGCCTTGCTGTAACCTCTATAAAAACCCCTGGTGTTTTAGAGTCAGGGCTCTCAATCTTGACCCGCTGCTTCGGTGACAGTTGAGAGTCCCTGCTCGAGCTTGAGTAAATGACCCTCGTGTGCTTGCATCGGAATCGGTTCCTTGGTGGTCTTTGGGGACCCCGCGATCTGGGCACAACATCTCCTTCCTATCTATCCATCAGAACCCAAGAGACTCCTGGAGCACAGTGTAAACACCAGTGAGTCAGGGTCCCCTCAGCTCTGCTGTGAGCTATGCTATCCTTAGGCAGGTACATTTATGAAAACTGTCTGTAAAAGTGTGCCCTTTGGCCAGTCGCACAAGGGTGGCCTGGAGAAGTGTGCACATGGCTGCAGCCTCACGATGGTACAACAAAGGGGTTATCTCCCCAGCAACAGTAAGATCCAATCATCTGAAACATGCTGGACAGAGAGCATCCTGAAGCACCTACCAGCTTCCAAACAAGGTCATTTGATTCTAAATCGACTTAAGTTTTTCCCCTCGGGTGACTTCATGGCTGCATGAAGTTGACTTTGGCATTTATTCTTCTAAAATAAACATGCTGTACTCTCATAAGCACAAAAGTCTCTAAAAGACAGCAGCTATCTACAACAGTATCATTGAACAAGACTGAAAAAGTACCAGGCACTTGCTAGGCACAGGGCACTCTGCCTGTTAGGTACAAAGAAAACAAAGTGACATTTTTAACTTAGTTATTTAAAAATAAATTTGCACAACAAATTATAAGATTGTTAAACTGTCATTTATACGTGGATTAAATGTACTAGTATCAATATAATTAAATCTCTAAAATGTCAATTGAAAAAGATAAGATTTTCCGCCAATACCACAAAAAAATGGGACAATGTCAAAACAATTATCAATAAAGAAGATTCTAATAGTTTATCCAATTCAAATCTTGAGTAGTGGTTGTCACATAGATCTCACTCAAGGTCCGTCCGCTCCACCCCTCTGCCCCAGCATGACAGGGGACGGGGCTGGCTTGTGGACTTACCTCAGCACCACCACGATGGGGCTCTCGCTGCCTGTGAGGACAATCAAGCCTTTCCATATCATGAGTGCAGAAGACACGATCATGGCAAAGTTTAAAACCTGGTAGTACAGCTGGAATGAAAAAGGCCAAACCCAGAGTGAAAACCCACTGGCGTAATATTCACCAACCCAAAGCCAGAGATGAGCTTCTAAAATAAAACAAAAAACAATGTGATTTTAGGACATGAAACTAATTTGCACAAGGTAAAAAATTAGGGAGTGTTTTAATTTTCTTTCCAAAGAAAAAGCCTTCCAAATACCGTCTCTCCTTCAGGGAAAGGAGTGGAGGGAGAGTAATCTATGGGGTGTGCTTTGTTAAAGCCCCAGTGAGGATCTAGTGGGAATCCTTTAGCACCACAATCAAAGCTGGTCTCAGATGGAAGCCTTACAATATGACACAGATTAGCGACTAGGCCTCTGCATCTGAAAATTACCAGTTAAAAGGGAACAAAAACATTAAATACCAGCATGTTGAATTGTTCCATAAACATGATCAGCAAATATTTAAGAACTCAGAAGTCAACATAATGGCTAGTTGTTAGAAAGAGGTTTAAACTGCCCCCACCCCACCTCCCACCACTTCATTATGACCCACAGGGATGGCCTTCCTTCCCCTCCCAGTCCACACACGCTAAAGCCCAGGTTCTTCCTCACTATAGCTGCATGCCAACCCTTGGGTATGGCAAAGCAACACCTACACATATACCAACATCCTTTAAGCTGTGGTTAAATTGTCAGCCAATTGCCCACCATCTTCCAAGAGACTACAGGAACTAAAGCCACAGTGTCTGACTCCTCAAAAGGTAAGCCTTCAGGGCCTGTTCCTTCCTGCCCCGAAGGAAAGCACTTGACTGGTACCTGCCTCGCCCTACGCTAGCAAAGCCCTTTCCAAACTCAACTTCTGGACCTCCTCATCTCCAGTGACCTTCTTTCCTCCCTGCCTTGGAGCCATCCACTCCTTGGAACACACCCTAGAATGGAAACTGCTGCAAGCCCACATCTCTAATTCTCCTGGCACCACGGGCTCACCTACATGTTAGGACTCCTGTTCTTTCAGGACCTCTGGCCCTCACTTCTGCTTTCCACCCTCAGCATGCAGCATGCAAGTTCTCACAGTGGTCTCCACATCCTCCATCAGGTCCCTTACTCCAGAGATCTTCTGTTTATCCCTTCGGGAAATAAACACCTCCATCAGTGAAGGCAAACCTTTTAGAGACCAAGTACCCAACCTGCAATTTATGATAAATAAAGTGCCAACACTGCAATTAAACCTGAATACTGAGCTATTGGTTTAGAAAAAACAACTGTTATCTGATGCTTAGCTGCTGGGGCTACTTGGCTCACCACCACTGACCTGAACTTCACCTTGGAGGGGAAGGCCTCTGAGCGGGGTGGGAGGATAACAAGAGATCTCACACTTCTTGGCTTTTTCACCCAATCTAATTTATTTCAGCCCCACTTCCCTTTCACCTTAAGTTTCAGAGATATCTACTACCACCAAGTCTTGAGTCTTTGAGGATTCTGCAACACAAATAGTGAAGGTTGTCCCTCAGCTTCCCCTAGGGCCACTCAGCATTTTGACTTCCTCCGGTTATGTCAGTTACCTTTCTTCCATATGACTCCTAGCCACCAGTATTTGGTTTATCTTGTTTTCTTGTCTGGACTCCTTATCTTAGAAAAATGTGACTTAAATTTCCTTGGGCTGAGGATTTAGCTCAGCAGCACTGTGCCTGCCTGGCAAGCGCAAGGTCCTCAGTTTGATTCCCAGTACCAAAAAAAAAAAAAAATTCTCCTTACTGTTGTTTCAGTGGTGTTTCAAAGTGAAATTAGGTAAGTTAGATCCCATCCCATCTTAGCTACCTACTGCTCTCCAGAAAATCCTTTTGAAAGGAGTTTGGAATTAGGATCTTGATCATGTAACACTGAACACTGTCTCCTCAAATATCTAGACTTAATTTGAACAGAAATAGAATGTGGAGGCATAGATTCTTTTTGAGTTCTGAATATAGTATTTTTTGGTACCAGGATCTAACTAGGGACCTTGCGCTTGCGAGGCAGGCGGTAGAATCACTGAGGTAAATCCCTGGCCCTACTGAGTATAGTTTAAGAGTAAGTGCAGGAGTCCCAGTGTGCAGTAGAACATACTATTTCAAGGCCACTAGGGAAGATTATAAATGTTTAACCACAAAGAAGTGACGAAAGTCTGACATGATAGACATCCTAATTATCCTGATTTGAATATTATACAATGCTTACAGGTCAAAGCATCACATTGTACCCCATAAATCATATAATTACTATTTGTCAAGTAAAAATAAAACGCTAAATAGTTTAAAATATAGTTTTTTAAAAAATGCACAGGGCCTGGAGAAATGTGGCTAGACACCCAGGAAAGTCTAATAGGATGTGCCAGGTGGCTTTGTAGGGTGATGACTTCTGAGTGTGTAGTCGGTCCTTTGTAGCAGTGACTTTCAAACATCAGCATGCACTAGAAATCACCTGGTGGGCAAAAAAAACTGCATTTCACACAAGTTCTCAGGTATTGCTGAAGCTGCTGGTCTGGTGCCACAGTTTGAGGGCCACTGTTCTATGGCATTGATTCTAAATCTCGGCTGCACACTAGAATAATGTGAGGAAGTCTTTGGGAGGTAGGAGACACAGTTTCGACCTCAGACCAACTGAATCAGTGGGAGGTTGGCATCCTGTTTTCATAAAGAGCCTGCTAAATAATTCTGATGCACAGGGAGGGTAGATCCACGGTACTATACCTCTTCCTTCCCTTTAGCATAAATTGCTCTATCTTGACCCCTTCCTCTACATGAAATCTTCCTCCCTCCACCTTTTACATTCCTCTCTTTCACAGTCAAACTTCTCAAAAGAGCTTCTATCCCTAGGTAGAAATCTGAGTCCACTCTGACCACTTTCTTCTTTTGCCAGTTCTTCCTCCGTCACCAGAACCTCCAAATGTTGGCATCAGTACCACCATGCCATGTACTCCCACTTCTAGACTAACAGTCACATGCCTGACATTTCCACTCGGATGTCTTTAAAGGTAACTCAAACTCTACATATCAAAACTTATCTTCCCCCCAATGTTTTCAGTGCTAGTGATATTTATCTCAGGAAATGGCATTGCCATTCACCCCATTGTTCGTAGCCACCCACTACCCATCCATTTTATACATTTCCAAACTGTATTCAGTTCTCTCTATTCCCACTGCTGCCACTCTCATCCAAGTCACCAAAACAACCCCCTGGGCCACTACAAGAGCCTCCTACAGGTCTCCTGAAGTCACACACCAAACCATTCTACATTCAGTACTTGCTTTGAAATGTACATCTGCTCCTCTGGTCACATCTTTGTCCCACTTAGAGCCCTTCAATTGTATTCCACTACTCTGAGGACAAAAAGCAAATCTTAACGGCCACCAAGGCCCTGTCTGACATGGAGACCTTCACTGAAGCTCACCGTACCTGTGGTATCTGTCAATGCTTTAAACAGTGTATCCTCTTTCCACTCCCAGACCTTACCCAGATATTTCCTCTACCCAGAAGGCTCATTCCCTGAACTGCCTGGCACACCAAATACTCATTCATCTTTAAGTCTCACTTTAAAATCAGTTCCCAAGGGAAGCCTTTCTCAATTTACCGGACCAGGAGTCAGCAAACTTTTTGTTTAAAGAGCCAGGTAATATATATTTTAGGTTTACAGGCTACCAATATCTGTCAAAACCACTTAACTCTGCGACTTAGCAGGAAATCAGCCATAGACAATATGTAAAAGAATGAACATGACTATGCTCCAATAAAATATTATTTCTAAAAACAGATGAAACACTGGAGTTTGCTACCTTTGCTGTAGGCCAGCCCTAGGTCTTCTTGTTATATATTCTCACTGCATTCTATACCTCTTTATAACATCCTTCACCATTATAATAATACATAATATGTCTTTCATATTATGCTGTAAGTTCCATGAAGGCAGGGATCATTTCAGCCTTGTTCAGAACTGTATCCTCAATATTCAACACAGGTCTGGCAAAAGGTACTCCATTTGTTCAAGTAAATAGTGATAGAACAAATGTCTTCAATACATACATGGTGTTATGGCTTGTATCTAGATGTCCACCACAGTTTCATGCACTCATGGGTAGGGCTTTTCAGAGGTGGCTGGATCTAGGATGTATGATAACTAAACTGGATTAGCATAGTTCTGGGTGTACATAATGGGAAGTCTCACTCTGGGTATGGGTGGCACCACCCAAAAGGCTTGTAGCCCGGATGGGATAAAGGAGGAAGGGAGGCTTGCTTCACTCCACTGCCTCCCGCCAGCTCTGCCACAGACTATTTCTCCTCTCTGATGTCCCTCTGCCATGCTGTCCTGCCTTGGAGCCAGCCAACTATGGATTGAAATCTCTATAAACTGTGAGCTAGTTTCCTCCCTTAACTTGTGGGTGTTGGGTATTTTGTACCAGCAATGAGTAAAGTAACTATGACACATGGTGAGTGCAAACAAATTAGCATTAAGAAAAACATTAAAATTCCAACAAAAAGATAAAAACGTAAAACTATAATTTTCCAAAGAGAAACTACAAGCATCAAATAAACATTTCAAATGTTCAAACCAATAATCCTACCTCCACTCTCCATCCTATCTCTGCTTTTTGTTTTCTCACCCCTAGGAAACTTAAAGGTTTGTTTTGTTTTTTAATACTAAGACTCAACATTAGTTGATATAATAATTCTGAAAGCAATTTGGCATTAGAATCAAGGGGCTGTTCTTGGCTCAATAGTTCTACCTCTAGAAATTCAGTCTAAAATAAGGCAATAGGGAATTATGGCCCAAAGATATTTAACAGTCATATTTCTAATAATGTGGAAAAGGAAATACTGTAAATGACCAACAATAAGGAAATGACTGAGTAGAAAATGGCAGATTACTCCATTATTTCAAATTAATACACAAAGAACTTTAATGATTTGATCAAACACTCAAAACACGTTAAGTAAAAAATATCAGCTGCAGTAGGAGCTCAACAAACCCAAGGAGATGCACATTACCATAGGTGATTTTAGGATGGCAGAATTATGAATCATTGAATTTTCTTTTTTAAAGTATTCTCTGGTCTTTAAAATTTTTTGAGCATGCACTAATTATGAAACCTCAGGGAAAAACTGTTTAAAGGAAGTGCAATTTGAAAGAATTTTGGAGCCATTAAAATAATGATTTTTGAAGAATGTACAAAACATGAAAACATTTTCTGATATGATAAAGGAAAAGCCGAGTTTTAAAAATCTCCCTTGCCGGGTAGTGGTGCACACCTGTAATCCCAGCACTTGGGAGGCTGAGGCAAGAGGATCACTGTGAGTTCGAGGCCAAACTATGATACATAGTGAGTTCAAGGCCAGCCTGAACTACACAGCAAGACCCTGTCTCAAAAAAACAACAAAAAAAGAGGTCCCTTGCCAATATTACAACTATGTGAAATTATGTAGTTTGAGGCAGTTTCGAAGGATACAATTGAAAGTGAGGACATGAAAAGAAAATTAAAATAACTGCTAAGGTATTTCAGTGCAATTAATGAAAATACAAATATTATAATTCAACTTCACAGCTACACACAGTTTTTTAACTACTTGGCTACTGTGTTAATAGCAAATTATAAACCTAGCATTATATTCCTAGGAGAACAAAAAAGGAAACTGAAGTGCTAAATGGACACTGTTAAACCATTGCTTCTTAAGTAAAATCAGCTTTGGGCAACTCACACCGGAAGTCATTTATTGGAGTTCACATTCAAAACCTTTCCCACCTGCTCTGCTTAAATGACTTGATAAACAACCGTTGTTTCATTATGAATTTCAGATCTGATTAGGAAAGCTCCAGTGTGATTTTAAACAAAGTCTCCCATTTTAGATTGTTTTTTTTTCTTTTCAAAACGTCAGGTTCTGCCCTAATGAAAGAAAATTATAAATTTTTGCCACTTATCTACTAGAGATCTTGTACGAAAAACATTTTCCAGAATGGTTTTCTATGCTTGAAAAATTCAAGAGGAATAAAATCAATTCTTAAAAAATGGCAAAATACACAAAAACCTAAGTGCAAAACCATAGATCAGACTTCCAACATCCCACCTGTAAGGTATCTATGAATCTGAGTATAGGTTTGACATCCAGGAATCTAGAAACATAAAATTTGACCAAACTACTGACAAGCTGAATGGACTCTAAAACATAAACCACAATTCTCACTGGTGCCTTCTGTTGTTTATCTTTGGCTATCAAATTTGTACTCTCAGCACTCAACTACCCCAGCAGAGTTTGGAAGTAGGCCCACACTCAGTTCTTGTCAACCAAAACAAAAATAACCACTTTCTAAGGGCTTTAAGCAAACATTTCATACCACATATTCTGGCTACAGAACAGCAGAAACACCAGTAACTATATTTCTTCCTCTCTTCCTCAGTACTGAAACAAAGAGCCCTTGTCTTGCATGTGGCTCTCATCTTAGCAAAGAGGAGCAGTAAAGAAAGGAGTTCCTGCTGCCAAGACTGGTGCAGCGTACAGGCCTGACAAGGTGTCACAGGATGCTATTTTGAGAAGAAAAAGAAACAAGCAAAATGACAAAACTTTAAAAAAAAAAATACCAAAGGACAGATTTGAGCTTCTGAATTTTAACTAGAAGACTAGCAAAATGGGCCATGTAACCAGCTACTGAAAGGCTTATCATTAAGAATGGGAACACATGGATCTTCCAAAGGGCAAACTAGGTTAGGCTTTCTTTGATAGTCTGCAATTATAACCATTAGTAATCAGTATCACTTTGAGAGACGTTTAAAAAATCTAATCGGTAATCTAGATTTTAAAATAAAGCTCTCTTTCTGGAAGAACCTTCCTGTGAACAACATCAGTGCTCAGTTCATTAGCTATTGGTGTTTTAAGCTAGTGCTATTCTCTACAATACCTCATCACAATCACAGGAGTTGATCAGCTATGCAGATCCTAGACATGACCAGATCCTAAACACAGTTCATGAACTCCAAGTCATCAAGCTTCCACACTGCTGCACTAGTCTGAAATTCTATGGAAGGAAGGAAGGCTGGATGGATGGAAGAAGGAAAGGAGAGGGAGGGAGGAAGGGAAGGAAAAAAAGGGAGGGGAAGAAGGAGGGAAGAAGGAAGGAGGGAAGGAGGGAAGGAGGGCAGAAGGAAGAAAGAAAAGGCAAGAAGGAAGAAAAGGGAGGGAAGGAGGGAGGGAGGTGCCCAAAGAAGTAAGTAGTGGCCTACCATTGGCATCGCTGCAACTCAATTCTGTATACTGGAACAAATGAAACGGGATGTCATAGAAATAATAAGAATTAACAGCATTTTCACTAAAACCCTCTGGTAAAAAGGTTCTATTTTTTTCTTGCCACTATTTATTATTCGTAGCAATAGCAGTAACATCCGTCATGATATCTGTCCACAATAGGCTAGAAACTCAGTCACATATTCCTGGCAGTGAGGATTTCCAATCCCTACTCACTTTCACTTTATACTGAAGAGACAATGACCCAAAGACAAGGATGATGGCCAACACCTGGCTAAGAGGAGAGAGCAAAAGGGAAGTTTTCCTCTGAGATCCTGTCTCGGGAGTGAGAAATCAACTCCAGCTGCCCAAAGATCCCCAAGTTAATGGCTTCCTGACTTATAGTGCAGCAAAAATGATGGAATCAGAGAAGGAAATTCGAGAAGGCTTCTGGAATCCCGATTGGAACACTGGGTCAGTCCACAGTGACTGAGCACCACTTATGAGCTCTCTAGATACAAGGAGCATTACTGAGTCCCAACGCATATGCCAGAAAAAAGCAATGGGGGGCGGGGGGTGGGGGTGGGGTAGAATCCTTTGGGAGGTATCGCTGGACAGCTCCCATTTGTGAAAAAGTTCTTCCTTTCCGCCTCTCTGCCACTACCCCCCCCCCGCGCGCGCGCTGCCAGGCCTCCAGCGCCACAGGGACAGCTGCTCCCTCTTCACTCCGCGGCCCTTAGGATACACGCTGACAGCTGTCACTCGCGCTCTAATCATCTAGCCTCGCTTGCCCAAGCGCATCTGATAGCCATTGTACAGGGTTCTCTTCCCCTTCCTACCCAGCCCTCCCCTAATGTGCTCTTGTCGGTGAAAGAAAGCGCACACATTTGCCCACACGTGGGTTTGGGAGGATTTGAACCCAGGGCCGCTGAGAGCCCAGCAGGGGAACTTCAGGTCGCCGCCCGGCCACAGTCACCCGGAGGTGCCTTTGCCAGAGCCCTCCAGGGGAAGCCCAGAATCCCCGCATCCAAGGCGGTCCCGGCCCCGGGGCGCGCCCCCAACCCCGGCCTCCATTACCTGGCGCTTGTTCATCTTCCTCAGGTCCCCGAATATGTCCAGGCCGAATGAGGGGAGATGCGTCCCCACCGCGCCCGCGCGCACCATGTTGGGGTCTCTGGGGGCCCCAGTGGCCAGCCGGCTGCAGGTGTCACACACAGCTGCGGAGCTCCGGCCGGCCCCGCCCACTAGCTCTCATCCTTCCGAGCCTCCTGACCCGACGGTCGCTTAGGCTTCTGGGAATCGTAGTCCCACGAGTCTTGGGCAGCATTCGGCCCGAGAGAAGGAAAAACTACTTCTCCCACAATGCCGCGGGGCGAGAGCCTCAGCCAGTGAAGACCCAGGCCTCCTCGGCAGGGCAGCGAAGGGGCTCAGGATCCTTGTCCTCCCCTTCTGAGGGAATGTGGGCCAGTGGATGTTCAAGCACGTCTCAGGAGCAACTCGAGAAAGTGACTTCTTAAGAGGAACGGAATTCCCAAGACTCTGCTCAGGCGCCGAAAGGACACCTAAGGCTCCCTCGCAGCCACCTAGTCGTGTATCTTGGCTATTGGATAGCTCTGGTAAGGGAAGGTGGGGCTTCTACCTTGAAGGCGGAATGTGCACAATCCGGGTGGTGCCTAAAATGAGGGCGGGCCTTGGGCGAGGCGGGACTTTTGAAGCTGTCGGGTTCCCGCTCTGAAAGAGTTGGATTTGAATGCGAGGGAGCATCTCTTAATCTCAGTGACCGTCACAAACCTTTACAAAACGCATAGTATGCACCTGATCCTGTTCTAGGCATTTTGAGAAACATCCGTGAAGAAACAAGCAAAAGTCCTCTTCCTCCTGAAGCTTACATGGGGCAAGCATAATAGGTAAATAAATTCTACAGTACCTAAAAGGTGATGGTGCAGTGAAAAGAAGAAAAACAGAGAAGTGGGATGGGAAACTCTGGAAGAAGAGAGAGCATGTTGCAATTTAAAATATTCCAGCAACCGACTTGCCGTAAAGCTAGTGAAAGGTAAGCTTTTGAACCCTACTGTTGCCAAGGCTCTTTCCAAAGCCTGGAAGAAGCATTGCCCTAGACTTTTGTAAAATTTTCCAAAGCAAGGTAGTAAGTCCTCGACTTACAAAACGAGTTCTATTCCAGGAGAACGTTCGTAAGTCCTACAAAATGATTCTTATACGGTATTTGAATTTTTACTGGCTAAGAGTTCTGTTTCTTTGCATTCTATCTTCCCCTCCATCACTTCTGTTATTAGGGAGGATAAGGAGCATTTTGAGGATCCAGCTAAAGAGAATTTGAGCTGGAAATACATTTAGCTTGGATTGAGTGGATACATTTATGTGGCTCATGGTCATTTCCTGCCATCCTGGTATAGGAACAATGTCTTCTAGGAATATTGCCACCCTCTGGACCAGTTCACCTGATGTCATAACAGGAAGTTGCACTAGAAGTGATATCTGATCTGAGGGTTCCTACAGCATCCAGCCTCAGAAGTATATGGGTAGGAAAGAAACAAGGTTTAAAATGTACAGATTCAGAAACTAGTCTGTGTCCCCACTGCAAGGGGGAGGGGAGGGGGTGGAAAAGGGAACATCAGTACCCACCCTTACCCTGACACATGCCTGGCTGAGCCTTCAGAGGGCCCGCTGCTCCCGCTTCAGGCCTGGCCTTAGCTCTTCCATCCTGGGAGAAGCTTTCCGTTCTTGACCTCATGAGCTCAGCGTGCCCAGGCCGGCCGTTGGTGTGGAACAGCACCTCGCCGACTCCTACCTCTTCCGTCCTCCACCTCCCCCATGGGTGGGGAGAAGGGCATGCTGCGAAGGCCTGGAGAAGAGGTCGGGCCACAGCAGCCCCTGGCTGCCTGGGAGACCTTGCGGGTTAGAAGCTGCAGGGATCCAGGCTGGTGACTCACTTAGAAAATTCGAGTCGCTAACGTTTGATTATACGCAGGGCTTATTTGGTAAACCAATGCTGCTTCTCCTGCAACCTTCTCTCTGGGGAAAAAGGCATAAGGTACACGGTTTTGGAATTTGGAGACAACATGCACCACTTTGTGTTACCTTAACCCATCTACAAGTGATTCATGAGGCTGCCAGTTTTAAGAGATGACCATAACAAGAAAAGGTTCTGCAAAAATCCAGCTCCTGTGCAAATTCCACACATTTAGGTCTCATGATGCAGTAGGTGTAATAATAACTCCAAGTAGAAGGGAGGCGGCAGGCGAAGCGCACGTCGATCAGGGGGAGCGCACGTCGAGCCCGGGAGCGGTGCAATCCGCGGAGGCCAACAGGATTCGTTGGCTGTCTGTCGTCCCCGCTGCCTTGCACTGGGTTAAAAACGACAACAAACGATGAAAGATCCAAGTCGGAGCAGTACTAGTCCAAGCATCATCAATGAAGATGTAATTATTAACGGTCATTCTCACGAAGATGACAATCCATTTGCAGAGTACATGTGGATGGAAAATGAAGAGGAATCCAACAGACAAATAGAAGAGGAGTTGTGGGAAGAAGAATTTATTGAACCCTGTTTCCAAGAAATGCTGGAAGAGGAAGAAGAACAGGAGTGGTTTATTCCAGTTCGAGATCTCCCACAAACTATGGACCAACTCCAAGACCAATTTAATGACCTTGTTATCAGTGATGGCTCTTCTCTGGAAGATCTTGTGGTCAAGAGCAACCTGAATCCAAATGCAAAGGAGTTTGTTCCTGGGGTGAAGTACTAAAATATTTGAGTAGACGGGGCCCTCTTTTGGTGGATGTAGCACAATTTCCACACTGTGAAGGCAGTATTAGAAGACTTGATTGTAAAAGCTCTCTCGTCACTGTGTTACACTTGTGCATTGCCAAAGTTTTTGTTAGTCTTGCATGCTTAATAAAAGTGCTGAGACTTGTTAAGTAAAAAGCTGTCAAACATTTACTGAAAATAGAAATGGCCCCATAGCCAATGTAAAGACAGTGAGGAAAGAAACACCAGTCAAGTTGTGACAAAGCACCAAATTAAACAAACTCTAAATCTTACTAAATTATCATCTTTGAGACTAAACTGGTCCCTTAGGATTAACTAACACTTGTTAATGTCTACACTTTGTAGAAATGAGTAAATTTAAATTACACATTTCTCAGTTCCATTTGTCCTTATAAGAAGAATCTCCTTGAGGCAGGAGGATTGCTGTGTGTTGGAGGCCAGCCACAGCTACATAGTGAGTTCAAGTCCAGCTTAAACTATATATAGCAAGACCCTGTCTCAAAAACACAAAACAAAAAAAATTTTTCTGAAAAATACCTGATAATTTGAAATAACTCTGTGCCGTTGGTGACTGAGGTAACAAGGTAATGATAGATAAGAGCTAGTGCTGGCTTTTCTGGTATGTTATTGTGTTAGAAATACTGAATTCAGGGCCAGGGATTTAGCTTAGTGGTTCCGGAGCCTGCCTCACAAGCGCAAAGTCCTGAGTTCTATCCCTGGTAGCAGAAAAAGAAAAAGAAATACTGAATTCTTCTAATGATACATTTGAGGAATATGTGATTTGAGAATTGTGTCTTCTGAGGATTCACCTCATCACAGCCATATCTGTGTGAAGTCTAATTTGGGACAAACACCAGCCTGTAATCCAGTTGAACGAAGAGATTGTTACATGATTTGAATGGTGCTTTTCCTTGCTTTGTTAACCATCATGACAGTAGTCTCCAGCACAACTTTTCTTTTTAACAAAGCTAGAACAGTTTTGGCTTCCTAAACTTCATATTTGGGTAGGTTAAGCTGCCATACATGTTCAGTGTGAATAATGTTTAAGTTGAAAATATTGTAAAAAATTATATTTTTTCAAAAATATTAAAAAAAAATAATAGTAGAACTGAAAAAAAATAGTAACTCCAAGTGTTGCTGCTGAGTACAAAAGCTGTAGGAAAGCTCTGGCAAGCACTAAATGAGAAACAGCAGATTTGAGGGATTTTGGAGGAAATTTATGCCCTTTGTCATAGACAACTATACTCTTTTTGATAAACAGCTATTTTTCCATTGGCTCTTGGAAGAGCCTGAAAGCCCAACTGTGGGATCTCAGATGACCATGTGGCCCAAGCTTCCTATCGGGTACTGTACTGTTTTATGATCCGCCTAGTTATTAGGATGGATAGAACCAGCAGGAATTTATTACCATGTGTTAATGGTATATAAGATGTATGTGTGAAGTAAGTGTGTGTGTGTGTGTGTGTGTGTGTGTGTGTGCTTTGCTCAGGCAGATCTAGAAGGAATTGGTAACCTAAACAAGCTGGTGGCTCAGACTCCTTCAACACTATTGGATTGTCTCCTTCAATAGAAACCTTTAGTCCCCTTCTGGGGATTACCTTATGTGCAGTTAATTGAGAAAGAAAAAGAATCTCAAGCCTCCTTTAAAATTGGATCTGTATGGGCTGGGGATTTAGCTCAGTGGTTCCACCGCCTGCCTTGCAAGCTCAAGGATCCAAGTTCGATCCTTGGTACCAAAAAAAAAAAAATGGATCTGTATGATATCCCAGTACTACTTGCAAGTAGACAGTTTCACAACATACAATCCAACATAGAGGTAATCCTACAGAGAAATCTTCCCAGTGGATAGAACTACAAGTAGTACACTGGGTTGAGAGTTGGCCAGAAGTATGGGTCTACAGTGATTTGTAGAATTTTGCCAAAGATTTGATTGGATCATCAGAGATGTGAAAGGAATAGGATTGGAAAGTTGGTGATAGAATATCTTTGAAAACTGTATGTGGGTAGACACCTTTGTACAAACAGGGAAGATATTTGTATCCCAAGTGAATGCCTACATCTCCTACAAAGAGGGCTCTTAATAACGAAGTGGACAGAATTACAGTATGAGCCTCTTTCTCTGGTCATTCCAACACTTGTTCAGTGTGCCCAAAACATAAGTGGGTGTGGTGCCAATAAGAGGTTGTGCATAGGCCAACAACATGGATTTTCCCTTCCCAAGGCTGACCTGAATGATGCTACTGCTGATTGCCTGTGCTGAAAATAGGAGAGATCATCATTGAGCCCCAATATGCACAGTTCCTTGGTTGGCCCAGCTAGCCACCTAGTCCCGGATTGATTACATTGGTATCTTCTTGTCCTAGGGAGAGTAGAGATATACGGTCACTACTGTAGACACATATTCTACATATGGACATGCCTTCTCTACCGCTAATGCTTCTGCCAGCATCATCATCTGTGGACTCACAGCATC